TGGTGGTGGTTTGCTGGAAGTAGACCAACGGCATTCACAACCAAAGGACTGGGGAAATCACATCAACTGGTTGGAAAGTGCTGCCATCACACATCCTCTCCCACGGTCGGCAATGAAGTGCAGGGGATAATAGGTGCATGTGCATATGAGCACCAGTTAAAGCCATGCATCAAAGAACTGTCTATGCTGTGAACAGATGAGCCGCAAGTGAATCGAGAAAGTGGACCACAATGACACTGTAAGTTTGTGGGAAAGTGTATGAGACCTCGAGTTGACTAGACAGCAAAACAAGGCATGGTGGGAATGATACGAGGATGGATTATAATGAGCTAAGCAATAGGCTGATGAAATATCCGTTGTGCAGAATATTGCGTACTCTACAGCAATTCCTTTTCAACCTGCAGCACATTGCGATGAGCTTCAAACTCTCAATTAGCAGTGGATGTTCCCCAGCCCTGGCACCTACACCAGCCCTAATATTAATTCCTACTCTAATTCCACTAGACTTGGATGTGATTCTCATCAGACACACATGAAACATCATTGATACTTAGCTTAGCTCACTGGAGATGGTTGTCTTCCGTCAGGTGTTCAGAACCTCAAAACATTCACTTACCTGCTTTCGCGATACCACCTGTCCGACGCAGTTTGTTGACCTCAACGTATTCATCTGTAAAGAAGTGTCATACATTGGCAGCATACTTTCACCATGCGCATATTATTTGAGCATTGAACTAAAGGTATGCGAGAACTAAACTTGTATTCTTCCACGGCGCGCTTGGCATCGGTGACGCAACATTTGGCATGTGCATATGTCAAGCCAGGTTCTTATTTCCCAGCCAGAGGTGGCGAATTCCTCTGCCTTCCTACACAACTCTTCGTACACTCGAAATTACAAACGAAGGTCTCTGTATGACAGATGCACTCAAGTATCCAATATCGCTTCCACTGACTTAATTGAAGAGATATCTTGCATGGTTTTTGAGGCTAAGAATGAAACCCTTCTACTTGTTTGGTAATGGCTGTTCGGGTGCATGCGTCAACTAACCTTCCACGATAAACATGCTAGGTATTTGCAGCTCCTCTTTAAATGCCTACCAATTAAACTCACTCTCTTTTGGTCTAGGTGGTGGTTTGGGTACACTCTTCGGCATCGAATCTGCATCTATGTTAACACAAACAAGAATTTTCAAATAATTGTCGTCAAAATATCAACAGAATAATATGAAAGTACTTGTTAAATAAAGTAGTGTAGTGCATTAATATTTTAAGTACACTTGTGCCTACTATCTTCTGCAAATTCTGATTTTGATAATACTGTCTGTCACCCACCCCAATAGCATCCATGTGTTAAGCAAGTGCCAGGGTGTTGTGTTGGTGACACGTGTAACTGATCAAAACAAAGGACACCAAATCCTGATTTAATATGCTGACTAGTCAGGTGTCAGTTGATAAATGCCTGCTGGAGATGAGTGTTTCTGCAAAGAATGACATAAAATTAGATGAGTTGTGGCATACTTCTAGCAAACGCCAGTTTCAAGCAGAGGCACGAATGATCGGTCACAGTGGCAGATGTTCCAACCATAGTTATGGACATCTAGAATGTACTCGCTCTGTATCATCATCTGGTCTATGACATCAACCCTAAAGGCATCCAGACAATAACGTTCCTCGTTAGGGGAGACGACATTAATAAGTAGCTCAACAAAAGCACTGCCTCGTGGTTGATGCGGCTCGGAGGAAGGCTGCTCTGCCAAAATGGAAGCGGCGAAGTGGTCATGCGACGTGAAGAGATGGAGACCCAAGAGACGAGTATGACTTCGTCGTCGACAGACGT